AATGACCAATGTAGAGGTTTCTTTATACAGCATTTCTCAAGAAGATTCTTTTAGAAGTTTGGCCGAAGACCCAAAGTAAGTGAACAGGCAACCACATGAGGAGTGATTCAACAGAGGGAAAAGTTGTCTTTAACACCCTAAACAAGAATGTGTCTGAGGTTTCATGAGATGCAGGCCCTCAGCAAAGAAAATGTGCATAGGAAAGCAGGAGAAGAGAGGATTGAGAAATTGCTGAAAAAGTGGGCTGAATCAGGCATGCTATGGGACAGACTATGGGTTTTGCTTTATAGTAGTAAGTCAATGGTGGATCATAACCAAACAAGAAATATGGTGTCTATGTGGGAGAACAGTTCTCTGCCCAGTAGGGATGTCTACAACTTAGTCTAGTGTAGCAGGAATCTTAACAGTTATTATTAATAAAATCAAACCTGAGGCCAGTTATTAGGGTGAATACTGGAAGATCACAGAGACAGAACAAGCCACAGCTAACCTCACCTGGCCGACTTCTCAGCTGGTCTTGTTTCCTCAGACTGGAAGCTTCTGAGTCCTCATCCCAATGGCTCTCAGCTGAACTGCTGCTAGAAGCCTGAAAGCTTAACCAGGCAAATGCTTAACCAGCCAAATGCTTCTAGTTTCTGGTCCTCACGCCTTATAAACCTTTCTGCTTTCTACCACCACTCCCTGGGATTAAAGGCTGCTTTCTGGGATTAAAGGCGTGAGTCACTATGCCTGGCTGTTTCCAATGTGGCCTTGAACTCACAGAGATCCAGAGGGATTTCTGTCTCTGGAATGCTAGGATTAAAGGTGTGAGTGCCACCATTTTCTAGCCTTTGTATTTAGTGGCTGTCTGTTCTCTGACCCCAGATAAGTTTATTAAGGTACACAATATTTTGGGGAACACAATACCACCACAGTCTAGAGAGTCTGTATGTTACCTACTATGGCAAAAAGGAGTCTGTGGATATGATCAATTTAGTTAAGAATGTCAAGATGGAAATCCTGGATTTCCCAGACAAACTCAATGTCATCTTAAGAGTCCTTATAAGAGGGAAGTTCAAAGATGAGTGTAACAAGGGGCACAGAGATTGGCTGATGAGCCCAGGAGCCTAGACATTCAAGCAGTCACTACCATTAGAAAAGGTAAAGATGTGGTTTCTCCCACACAATCTCCAGAAGATACACTATCCCCCATCAGTATGTTGACTTTAGCCCACTGAAACTAGTTTCAGACGTTGCCTCCAGAACCATAAGAGAATCCATCTTTGTCATTTTAAGCCATTGTCTTGTGGCATATTTATTACAGCAGCAACCAGAAACTGATAAAATTCCTATAGATTCCAGTGTAAGGATGGTTTGAAGAGGGATCAAAGAAACTAAAAGGCCTGTAGGCATGTGACTCCAGCAACCCTAACAATGTTGACCTCTGTGAAGTAACAGTGATGCATCCTGAGGAAAGGAGAGCAAATTAGAGGTATATTTTGGAAGCAAGGCTGGTTGGACTTGCCAGATTCCCTTAGCTCCTAAATCACTCTTTGCTTTGGCAGAAGCAGGAAGCCCTGGGTACTGCTTGGCACACTGCAGCCATCAGTCTTCAAACAGTGAGTGCTGCTTTACTAGGTGACTGATTTGACAAATAAGAAACTTACTTACCCAGCCAGAAACATCTAGCCACTGGAAAAACATTGCTCATAGCCCAGAACCTGCCAGTCTACAGCAAACTTTGCTCTGCACTTCCCTAACAAGTAGAAAAGCATGACCAAGGATAGCAATTAGAACAAATGTGGATGCCTGTATGGGTAAAAAATAACTCCAGGTGCATATGACTTCTTTATATGAAGTGAGCATGATATTCTTCATAGTCGAAGAGAGAGGAAAAGCAATAATTTTCATATGCAGCACCATTTCTCCGACCTCCCTGGGCACTATTTTCCACTCTTTGCTTTGTGCCAATGAGGGACCCACCTGGCTGAGTGTAATGAGGCATTTCTGTGTGCAAGATTTCAGACTGTGGTCTCTGTCCACATGTCTCTCACTGAGACTTACAGCTGTTTTTAAAATCACAACTGGAAGATAGAAGAGAAACAGATGGGAATCCCTAGAGGGGACCAGCAGTGCTGCCAAGCCATATAATAAACCTGGACTTCTCAGAAAGACTACACCTAAAAAGCCCTGTCAGGACCTTGCATACAGGATTACCTGAAGTGCCCCAGGTTCCCATCCTTGTAGTATCATCCAATTCTATCAGCACCAGCGAGCTATATAGGTCTCTTGGATTCAGTTTGTAAGTATTTTATTGAGCATTTTTGCATCTATGTTCATAAGGGAAATTGGTCTGTAATTCTCTTTCATTGTTGAGTGTTTATATGGTGTGGGAATCAGGGTAAGGTGTGACATCATAAAATGATTTGGGCAATATTCCTTCTGTTTGTATTTTGTAGAATAATTTGAGGAGTATTGCCATTAACTCTTCTTTGAAAGTCTGGTAGAATTCAAGAGTGGCCTGTGGGTTAGTAGGGAGTGCCTACTGGCATTGGAGGCTGGCATAAAGCACTAAGTGGGAGGAGGGATGTTAGGAGGGGATGGTCTATGGGATCCACAGGAGATGTGGGCAGGGAAGGATGGGAGGCTGTAGCAGATGTTATGTTGCAGAGCTAGGGATGAGACTCGGGATTGAGATGATAGAAGGGTAGCTCACTAACAACATACTGGCTCCTGACCATCAGTAACTCCAGTCCTACAGGGTCCTGCTCCCTCTTCTGGCATCTTCAGGCACTGTTTTCACATGATACACTTGCATACATGCAGACAAAACACATACGTAAACTAAAGATAAATCATTCTTAAAAAAAAAAAAAAACACTTCATCCCTAGCTTCTAATTTAAGAGATGTTTGTTTAATCACATTGGCCACAAAGGCCTAAAGAAAATGATTCTGATGAACACGAAGGTCACGTGGGATGCCACATTTCAGACGAAGTGAATGCTAAGTGTAATGTGATTTTTATTTCAGCTATTAATTTTGATCTCTCTGGCTTAATGCTGTGCCTAGTTATTCTATAAAAGAAAAGGAGTTTTCTGCCTCAGTACCATTTGCTATTACATATTCATTCAGAAAGTCTTATGGAAGCCTGTCCTTCCTAAATGTTGTGGGAGATGAAAGGAATCATCCCTTATTCAAGAAGTTGGAAGCATGAATAAAGAGGAAAGCATGTGAGCAAAACATGACATCCAGTATGCCCGGGGTTTATTTTTAAAAAGGAGTCTTCTTTATTTCAACAAATGTATGCTAGGCATAGTTTAAGGTAGCAAGGATACAGAGGTAATGAAGAAAAGAAAGTTTCCCATTCTCATGGGGCAATATCATCTTTACATCAGTAGAAAGTTAAATAGAATGTTAACTTTAACAGTGATAACCATAGTTAGTAGAACAGGATTGTGTTGGATGGATGTTGTCTAAGAACAGCCATTTGGGTACACCTCTCTGAAGAGAGACCATCTCCCTAAATGATGAGACAGCTGTAGCCAGTCAAATCCTAGAGAAAGAACAACACAGAATAATGAAGAAGCTATGAAGGCCACAAAGTGACAGTCTAGGGATCTTATGAGCGACATGCTAGCTCAACCACAATGAATGAATAACAAAGCAGAAAGCTGAAGGTTGAATCAAAGTCTTGTGAAACCTGAAAATCAGAGGCTATATTATTTATGTGGGGTGGGAGGAGCGTAAAGCCAGATTCTGGCTAGCTACAGGCTCTAAGCACAGACCACTGCAGTTTAGAGCAGTCTGCGACTTAATTTTGTCAAGTCCTATTTAAAAAAAAAGAGTCCTAAGGAAGATTTCCATGACCATAGAGGGAACTATTGTTATCTTTGAGAAGGAGGCCCCTGAACATTCTTATTGAGTGATAACTACCCATCTTCATGTCTAACTCTGATATAAGAAGATGGGCTATAAAAGAACTAAGTTTGGCTTAAAGTATGTTGTCTGCAATCTAGTACAACATAAGAAATATCAGGCTCTCCATTTAAGGCAAAGGTTAAAAGCTTTTATCTTTTTACCACCCACTATCTCAGTCTTGATGTATTATTGTGTTCTATATTTATTAGTTAGTGTTGCACTTACATGGATACCTGTTGCCTCCTCCATGCTTTAACCCTCTTGTACCCATGACCAAGAGTAAAGAGCAGCTTGGCACTAGGCAGAGGCCAAGAAGCAAGAAGGTAAGACTGTCCCACAAAGGCAAGAAAGGTGATTTGAGCTGGCACCACACATTAATGGAGTAATGGACCACAGGAATGGACCACACTCCAATTAGTCTCTACAATAACTTACTTATAAAACATAAACTCAAAAATACAATAATCAAAACATTTTAGGAGGCAGATGACATCATTCTGCATATTGGGCCTTGTACTGTGGCACTGTTAGCAAACCGTGACACCTGCTTTGTGTTTAGGTCAGAAGAAAAGAAACTGCATCTCAGTCTAGACTTTTTTCCTAGGTACTAAAACATAGTAGGCTATAGATAAGTAAAATGTTACCATTGTGGGGGACAGAGTAGAGGGTGTACATGTGGAGCTCCTCTACATTACAGTTGGCCCTCCATACCTCTGTCTGGAGCCAATGAAGATCAGAAGTATTTGAAAAAAAAAATGTGTCTGTACTTACCATGTACGCTTTCTTCTTTTCACTATTATCTAAGTAATACACCATAGTGATCACTATACAACATGTGCACTGTATTAGGTATCTTAGGGTGATTTGAAATATACAGGTGAGTTTATGTAAGTTATACGCAAGTTCTACATCATTTTTGATGGACTTAATAATCTTTGAATTTCACTATCTACAAGTGGACCATGAAATAACTCTCTACCGATATGGAGGGTGACTGTGTGTTGTCCAGCTTCCTGTGAGCCTAAAGTTATATATAATTTATATATAAAGGTGTGTGTGTGTGTGTGTGTGTGTGTGTGTGTGTGTGTGTGTGTGTGTCTGTGTCTGTGTCTGTGTCTGTGTCTGTGTCCGTGTGTCTGTGTATATATATATATATATGTCTATGATGTTTCTTAAAAGATAGGAAAGATGGAGGGAAGCACAGAGGAAAGGAGAGAATCCAAGAGCAAGAATCAGAAGATAAAATTAACAGCTCTCAGATGTATTCACTCGGACATCATGAGGTATCATGTGACCTCAGCTGGAAGTAGAGACCTTGTCCTGAAGCTGTGAAGCAATGAAAGGAGAGCAAATGAGCACACTTGCCAAAAGTAAATGACTGGTCAGCTTTCTCCTGGCCACCCTTCCTTTTACGCTGTGCACATCCACCAAGTGATCATTTATCTATTACCCTCTTGTAGAAGGAGTGCCCTACCCATGCCTTCTGATGTTCCATGAGATGATAGCATTTTATGCGTGGCACACAATCCTTAGTGCTGAAAAAAAAAATTGAGGCTAATTTTCACAAAGAATAGCAGGGACTTCAGTTAAAATAACTAAAGTTATAATATCTGAGGCTACAGAGTGAGCAAAGTTCTTGTAGCCCGTGTTGTAAGTTTCTTGATTTTTTAAAAACTAATTTGTGAATATTTATTTACCTTATTTCTAATTTCTAATTATTATGCCTGATATTTACATAATACTGTTCCAAATTTACATAATTCAGATTGAGATAAAAGGTGACTATGGAGTCCTAAAGGTATTGGGACAATCTAAGTCCACATATGTAAAGTAGTAAAATTCTTGAGAGAAAATAGGTAGAAAATTAAGTAATAACTCTTCTTATTGCTAATATGTTTGATAGTATTTTCACCAGATCACATTTTTTTCCATCCTAAACTATATATCCCCCAGATACCAGCCACAGAAATCCTGATTTTTTTCTTTTAATTTTTTTTTGCTAGTAGGATAAAAGTATAACTCATAGAATTAAAAAATATTTTGTAAGAAAATATCACTTAGTTCTGGGGTTCAACATGCTTTTCATTGAAGGGAAAATTAGAACCAGTCAATTCTTCTGCTTCTGTGCAAATGTTGAACAGAATACACACTAAATCTCTAACATATCCCAAAGCCTTGGTCTACCCACAGTGATTGGAACACCCTTGCCACGTCTTCACAAATTCTGAAGTCTCCCATCCTCAACAATCTGCCCTAAGCAGAATGCCCTACAAGGCTAGGCTTCCATCTTAGTGGAGACCTAAGTATTAAAATGAGGCAGCACTACTAGAAGTACCCTTCACCCAACTTCAGGGAGAGGTGAAATTAACAGAATTAAACCTATATACTTCCGTAATGAGTGACAAACACTATTGCCAAGTAACACAGTAAGAAGCCAGGTACTTATTCATAAGAAACATGCATGCTGGTTCCTTTGAGTATAGTCTCCTTCGCAGTTCATCGACTGCTAACGGAGCATTTCCTCAGGACCTAGCACTGCCCTAGCGCCAGTGTAGGGAGAGCAGCACAATCCTACTCAGATGGGCCTATGGACATGTGAATCCACAAGACCCAGAAGAAGCAGGTTGTCTAACAAGAGATTAAGGCAGCCAGTAATGATAGGTTGTCAAGACTGAGCTACAAGCCCCAGCTCTGCCATGGGTCCCTAAGGAGCTTATGTAACCTGTGCTCTCAGCTAAGAGGTCAGGACAATGCCATCTCTGGCCTCTAGGGTTCATGTGAATGTGACATTTGCTGTGCAAGGCATTCATAAAAGAAATCTCATTTCATGGAGACAGTGGTTGAGTAAATTTTGGTTCACATCCTGATTTTTCCATCTATTAGCAGCATTTCCTTGGCCAAATGATTTAACTCCACTGGCCTGTTTCTTTGTTTGTAGAACACAGTTAATGTGGTGCTCATAATATTCCTTTATAATGTTGTCAAAATCATTAAGGAGTATTAGAACAAATATTTCAGGAAGAAGGTTCTGGGCCAAAGAATTAATTTTTCACCATCTGCACTATTTTTAATCACTGGGCTAGTAAAATTTCATAATTGATAGTGTCTGAGTCACTTAGGTGACTTCTTGATTAGACAAAAGAATTGGGTAGAAATTCCTAGCCAGGACTTTGGCCATGACCAAACAACCACTGTAAAGATAGACAGGTACTCTGATCCTTTTTCTAACCTCCCTACAGGGGCTTCACTGTAAGTCACAGATAAGATCTCCTGAGATATCTGTGAAAGGATTCTCTGTCATTTACTAAAGATACTGAATCAATAAGCAGACCACTATAATTTTCAGATGCACTAAGATTTCCCATAGGAATTTAGCATGAATTATTTTCTCTTGCCTTGTTTATATTGTTATATGTGTCTATCTTTCGATAAGGGGGTACCCTAATCTTATGATTTCTTACTTGAGAACAATAAACCATACTTCCAATTTGCTAATCTCATTTGAGGCCTCAGAGGAAAAAAAGAGAATATTTAATTATATGGTAGTTGTAAAGGGCCCAAACATAGAGTTATAATGGAGAATGTTTCAGAAGAGATGATTAATAAAAATCACTGATAATAGAGTTTAAATATTCTTTTCACAGAAAGTGGTGTGTGTGTGTGTGTGTGTGTGTGTGTGTGTGTGTGTGTGTGTGTGTATCTTAGTTAGGGTTTCTATTGCTGTGAAAAGACCCTGACCATAGCAACTTTTATAAAGGAAAACATTTAATTGGGGCTGGCTTACAGTTTCAGAGGTTTTGTCCATTATCTTCACAGTGGTATATAGGCAGACATAGTACTGGAGAAGGAGCTGAGAGTTCTACATCTTGTTATGTAGGCATCAGAAGCAACTGTGTCCTACTGGGTATAGCTTAACCATATCAGATCTCAAAGCCCACCCACACAGTTATACACTTCCTCCAATGAGGCCACACCTACTCCAACAAGGCCACACCTCCTAACAGTGCCACTCCCTATGGCCAAGCATTCAAACAGTGAAAACACTATCAAAGAGTCTATGGGGGCCATACTTACTCAAATCACCACAGTGTTTGTGTACGCGTATGTGTGTGTGTGTGTGTGTGTGTGTGTGTGTGTGTGTGTGTGTGTATGTTTGCAGCCACTTTACAATAAATACATATTTTCATAGTAATACCTTATATGTGGCACATGTTTATTAAAATTAATTGATAAAAATTTAATTTTTAAAAAATGATCAAAGAATTTTAGTAGCAATTTCTCCAAAGATGCACAAATTGCCCACAAGCATGGGGGAAAGCACTCGGTGTCTCATCTCTAATAATTAGAGTGATAAAAATAAATAACAGATCAATAGATAATTCCATACTCATTAGAATAGCAATTATTTAAAAACTAAGAAATAGCAAGTATTGAGTATTGGAAAGGATAAGGAGAAATTGGGACCTTTGTACCCTGCTAGTGGCAATGGTATGTGATATAATGACTATGGGAAAAGTATGGCAGTTCTTCAACAATAAAACATAGAATTGCCAAATGACCCAGCCATTCCACTTTGGGGATTATAGCCTAAGAAATAAAATCAGGGGCTTGGACAGTTGCTTGTACATATATGTACAAGGCAGCATTATTCTTAATTATCAAGAGGTAGAAACAACTTAAGTATATATTGACAGACTGATAGGTAAAATAAATAGAAGATAGATAGATAGATAGATAGATAGATAGATAGATAGATAGATGTGACATATATATTCAGTAGAATATTATTACATTTTTAACATATTTATCTTCCTTTTAATTATTTGTAAGTGTATGTGTGTCTATGTGTAAGCATGTATGTACATGAGTTCAGAAAGCCAGAAGAGAATATTGGATTCTCTTGGAGCTATAGTTTCAGTCAGTTGGGAGCCACTTAACATGGGTGCTGAGAACCAAACGTGGGTCCTCTGAAAGAACAATATGTGATGTTTACTGCCAAGCCACCTATATAGCGCCTATCACATTTTCTTAAAAGAAAGGAACTTCTAACACATTCTGTAACATGGATGAACCTTAAAGACATTATGCTAAGTGAAATAAGCTAGTCACAAAAGTTCAAATATTGCAGGCTGCCCTTCCATAAGATGCTCAAGTGGTCAAGGTCACGGAGAGAGGAAATACAAAGGTGGCTGCCAGGAGCTGGGGTGAGAAATGGGGACTCAATAACGGCGACTTGGAGCTTCAGCTTGTGGGGATGAAGAGTATTTCCTAGGAAGAATGATGACGATAGCATCACTCAAAATTTTAAAGTGGTAAATTCTATGTAATATCTATTTTTACCACAGTCATTAATAATTAAAACTAAAAGTTTAATTCTGCCTCCTCAACTGGTCCATTTCAACAAACTTCTCACAACATTTCTGTTGTGTTCAGACCTCCTGAAAAGGGAACATCAGGCTGACTTGAGTTGAATTTTCCCTCTACTGGGGATCCTTTCGACTTCATGCCCACAGACAAGGCATTGTGTTTCATTTTCCTCATACATAAAATATGGAGAGTATTTACCAAGTCACAGAATTAAACAAGATGGTGTAGAAATGGCTGGCAAATAGTTCATACTCAGGAAATTATTGTTAGCACTATCAGCATCATTTTTTCCTACTTCAAATTCACCATGAAAAACAAAGTACATAGCAGAATCCTTGTGCACAATAAGAGCTCCACGCCATTTTTTTTTCGTGGAAGAAGATTCACACAGAGCCTACATAATTCAGCACTGAGTTATGAGACACAGGCATGCTTTGTGAGAAGACAGAGATTGCTGGAGGCTACAAAGGCAAGATTTCAGGAAGAAAGAAATTTAAACAGGGACCTTGAAGGATGGTTGGGACTGGAATAGAAGATAGGAAATGGAAAAGTGATGGGAAGCTTGAGCAGAGGCAGAGAGAAGAATGATGTGATCCTGTGACACTTCCCCACTCTTCTATTAGTGACATTCATAAAAAGGATGGCTGGGAAACCACAAGAAAGCCTCACGTGTATATTTCTGATGTGCTCATAGTATATCAATCTGAGCTCATACAGCAGAGAGATGGCATATAGTGGAATTTGGTGTGTAGCTTAGTGGTCAGGCAGCATGCTCAAGTCTCTGGAACTGATCCCAGGCACAGAAGACAGAGAGAAAAGAAAGAAGGAAGGAAGGAAAGAAGGAAGGAAGGAAGGAAGGAAGGAAGGAAGGAAGGAAGGAAGGAAGGAAGGAAGGAAGGTTGAAAATACTGATTTCTTCATTTTAGAATGTCAGTATTCTAGTATTCTTGAGGCCTTTGATGGACTGGATGAAACTCTTCCAAACTATGGAGGCTATGCTGCTTAACTCAAATTCTCTTGATTCAAATATCAATCGTGTCTGAAAGATCGCTTCCTTAGAACATTTAGAATGGTTTGACCAAGTAATTATTACAAAGTTAACAAAAAGAAATGAATTGTCACACAAAGTAACACGAACAGGAAATTTAATAGAGAACTGTTGCCTAAGAACATGAAGGAGCAATTACACCTGCAAACAGGGATCCCTAAAAGGTATCTCAGGACAGAAGAAAAGTGCTCAAAAAGGGCATGTTTGAAGGTGAGAGTTCAGAGATCACTGAAAAGGTTTGTCTGGGCTCACTGGACGCTGAGGTGCCCAGTCAGAACCAATCTATAGTCTCTGAGGAGACAAATATGAAATGAAAAGCAAAGTAACAGTGTTCAGGTGAACCAAGGCTGCTAAACAGGAATGCAGCAGGTCAGGTGTATGAAGGGTATCAGGGCTACTGATGCAGGTGTGAAGTCCGGAGAACATGGGGCCTGCATCATGGCAGCCATCAGAACTCTTAGCGCTTAAGTAAGCCATGACTGGTGCTTGGGCACAGGAAGAAGTCCAGTGCGGTAAAGCACATGAGGGATGGTGGTATTCTATTTGCTCTGGCAGCTGGTGAAACCTTTTTCTTCAGGAGTCCAGTGTTTTGAGTAACACTTAGTGGAGGAAAATCAGATCCTGAAATGTCCATCCTCACAGATGATAGAAGAGCATACAGGGCAGAAACCTGGACTAGCCCCCGGTCTGAATTGCCTAGGAATCCCTACTATGTCATTTTTGTCCAAGGTGAGAACCAGGGAAAGCCCTAGACAAGCTGCACTTAGCGCTAGAGAAAGTCTCAAGGGCTCCAGAATAGGAAATATCATTGTTTAGGCTCTTCTGAACACCCAAATCAAGAAGGATTGTTACATTAAATTATCAAAAGACTGACACAGAGAAGCTCAGTCTTCATATATAAGTGGTTGGTTTCTTTGTCTAGATCCCTAGGATGTAGTGGTAGAGCCTATTGGGTACGGAATATTAGTTCATACTTTGAAAGGCAGAAGAGTCAACACTAATCACTGGATGATCTGAGACACTGGCACCAAATGTCAAGGACTTGAGCGAATTCAGTATCAAGAGAAAATAATGAAACTGAGGTGAAGTTTTCAAAAGAAAAGCATTTTTCTTTCATTTCTACATTATCAACTCATTTCACAAAGAGCAAAAGCAGAACAAGAAGGAGGGAGGAGGGGAATCTGAAAAGAGGGCATGGAGCCATATGTCCTCTGTGAGAAGAGGCAGGGTAAGCCATCGTGTCTGTAGACAACAATCTGAACTAGAGTTGGTGAGAGTAAGAGAAGACTTGTAGCTCCGTGGCAGAGAACTCGCCTAGCCTTTGCAAAGCCCTGTGTTCGGTCTCCTAAATTGTGAGAAAGAAAAACAAATAGTGAGATGTCTAATCAGAAAACCAGTGGGACTCTAGGTAGGACTTGAGTGTCCAATGTAATGTCTAGCCAATGATACAAGAACCACAAAATAGTGGAAGAAGGAAAAGGCAAAGAAACTCATCGATGCTCAGGTTGTTAACCCAGGCATGGGAGAGGCAGGGTTTGACAAAGATCCAGAAGTTTTCCCCTCTAGGCAACTCAGCAATAAGAGCCTGGTTCTCTGTAGTGGAGTGGGCCTCTGTCTAGGAGTGGCAGGAACATCTTAGCCCAAACATTTATACATTGTGAATGCATTATCAGGCATTATCTTAAACAATTTACATCTGATTAACTCTTAAAACAATCCTATTTTGCAGAAAAGAAATAGAGGCACAGGGTGATTATGATATCAATAGCAAATCATTGAAATGACTGACTAAGTAGTATAACGGGGATCCAAGCTCCACTTCTCCGGGTGTAGAGTCCATATATATATATAGATAGAGAGAGAGAGAGAGAGAGCATAGCAGTGCCTTTTTCCTATGATTTTACCTTCTGAGGTTTCAGTGTTTCCATTACCTAAGGTCAACTGTGTTTAAAAAAACTCAAATGGAAAAGTCCAGAAACAAATAATTCATCTCATATTATAAGCCTTTCTGAGTAATGTGATATATCTTATCATCCCACTGCATCCCACTCTTGACATAAAGCATGACTTTTTGTATTGTATCTACACTCCATATACTACCCCCCTCATTTGTCACTTATTGGCCATTTCGATGATCAGATCACCTGTCCTAGTGTCATGGTTTTTGTGCTTATTGCTTTAGTTAATTATGTTCATAATGTATAGAAGTATTGATCCAAATGAGTGACACAAAACCCAGAAGGACCAATCAAGTCTTGTACTATATGGCAACATTTCAAGGCATGCAGAAAAATGTTTATAATCAGGGTCCAGCACTCTCTGCTTCACACATCCACTGGAGTCCTTGGAATAGACCCTCTGAGGTTACGTGAGCCCTACTGTGCATTTAGACAGGACACTTTAAAACAAGCATTTTGTCAGAGGGCACATGGTACAGAATGCCTTTGTTAGACTGACAGCTTTCAGGCTGTTAACTCAGTTTCACTACTTCGCAGTTTTTTCTTTTTTAAAAGTGTGAGTGTTGAGACAAGGTCTTGCTATACACCTCAGGTTTTCCTTCTACTCTCTGTGTCGTCTAGATTGGCCTCCATCTCATGGTAATCTTGTCTTCATGCCCTGAGTACTGCTATTCAAGGCATATACCACCATATCTAGTCCTTCAGTCCCCTTTTGTAATGATAAGTATTGCATGGTTGTGCATACACATCTAAGAGTAAGTTAGGAGCCAAGGGGAAAAAATGTAACAACTGAACCATTCAATTGGGAACATAAATTTCTCTTCAGAGCTGTAGAGTTGGGTAGCCCAAACTCAAATACTGTTGGAAACCTTCCTCTTGGCTAACTTTCAAAAAGATACCTGTTTGTCTGGCAAATCAGGATTTGTCCAATGACAACAAGCTCCTTTAGCTGCAAGGGCTCCCATGAAGACAAGCTCCTTTAGCTGCAAGGGCTCCCATGAAGACAAGCTCCTTTAGCTGCAAGGGCTCCCAGAGCCTCCTGGAGCCTGGAATCTTGCTGCTGCCAGGAAATAACATGATCGAGTCAGCCTGTATTCATCACACTGAAAACCTGATTCCCCACTTCAGGCAAACTGAAAAAGGAAGCACAAAACTCTCAGTTGGCAGCCAGTTACCTCTGTTGATGTCACATCTGCAGCCAGGGATTTTTATAAAAGCAAGGAAAGAGCCATAGCTCTATGGAAAGAGGAAATACCTTATGGGCGTGCTCCTGCTTGGAACCGTGAGTGGTTGAAAATTTAGAAATTTATGAAATTGTCTTCATCTCTCTCTTTTTTTTTAATCAAAGTAAAAGGGAATGTCAAAAATCACAAAGCTTTAACTGGGAAACTATTATTACTCATCAACAAGGGTGTGATTTTTGCCTTCATTTGACTTTCTATTTTCTGTCATTTTCATCCTATCTTGCCTGCTTGGAGGAGAAAAAAAATGAAACACAAACAAACAAACAAATAAATTCATGCATAAATAATCTGAAATAATCTAGGGAGGGGCTTGTAGTTCCTCAAGAGTCATGACTTCTATTTTTCCACAGTACAAAGAGGGCAAAAGGCAAGGCAGAGAAAGCCTTGCTCCTCTCTCCTTACTTCTCACCCACGCCCTTTACTTCTCCTGTGATCCTAGGGCATGGTCGGTCGTAAGCTTCTGCTCATGACCACCAGAGAATGGTGGTTTTAGCTGCTGGCAGGGAGAAGGTGCTCCAAACGGCCACCTAGAGAGAAAGGGTGCCCAGTGTCATGAACAAAGCTCTGATGGACACTTCTCAATTTTGCTCCAACCCTCCAGGTTTTATAGCTTCTCAGTTCTGCATTGTATTCATCTTTTCATGGGATGCTCCCCTTTAAGACCGTCATTTTCTATCTAGATTTGTCTTGTCTCTGCTTTTCTTCACTCAGAATGATCTCTTTCTCATGGTAAAGATGTCTTTCCCTGCCTCCTTAAAAGTCTGTGGATTTTCAGGGTTGTACTCCCAGATAAAGTGAAACTTACACACAGTGTTCTCAGTTTTTTTTTTCCTCCTTTTCAAAGACTATGAGACGTGGCGACAACAAATTTCTATCATGCTCAAACCAAAATTTTGACTGAAGCAAAAATTCAAAGGCATCTATAGGTAGTTTTATTTTAATGGAAAGCCTCACAAACACACACATGCCCTTGTCTTTCTTCTTCTCCATAAAGACAATCTATTTTAGAAGTGCATTCACTCTAGGTTGGGTTTTTGTCCTCATTATTGCTTGATGTTTCCCGTCTCGGAACACTCTGACCTTTGGAATTCATTCTGCAAAAAATATCATTTCCATGATAGACAACCCCAACCTCACCCAAGGTCTTCTGGCACAAGCAGCCCGGGTTCCTTTATTCTCAGTCTATAGCTTCTGGACAGCACTAAACAATTCCTAGTTAAATCCCCTCAGCATCCATGCTATGTTAATCAGTCCTGCACACAGGCAGCAGCTGGACCTGTGAACTGGCTCCAGAATAGACAGCAGTGCCAGAGGAATTCTGTGCCTTGGACAAAAGAATATAAAGTTGTGGGGAATGCAGCCTTGAAGAAATTTTCATTGTTCCATCAACAGCGAAGAAAGACTTTTGGCAGCACATTAGGGAAGGGATCAAACAGAGCCAATTTTATGATCATTGCCAAGCTAAATGACTGAATTTTTCTTAAGGAAGTAGAGGTTTTTTGTTGTTGTTGTTGTTGTTTTGGTTTTTGTTTTTGATTTTTAAGGCATGACAGTAAAATAGAAGCTGGGTTTTAATTGTCCTTTATCTCTAGAAAACATTGATTGATGAGCATGGCACCGCAGTGCCAGCAGTATTAGGAGATCGAATGGAGTCTCTTTTTCAACATCTGGATCTCACCAAGAGACGGGTTTAAAGGTTCTTGTACCAGGGAAACCTAGATAAAAGAATACACTAGAAAGCACAGCTGCAGGGGAATCCACACACGCTGCAATGCCCCGTGACCAACATGTCACTGCAGCTGCCACCAGGGCCACAGAAGGCTCGTCAGTGGGGAACATGAGGCAGCAGTTGAGATTAGTAAAAATGCCATCTTGGCCGTGCTTCAGAGCTTGGAAGAGAAAGTAACCCTTTTAAATCGAATCCATTTTTCTCACACACACATAACTTTAGGGAAGAGCCTCTTAAATGACTAAAGGCCCTATTCCTGGTTGTAGAGTGTGCCATGACTAAACTTTGCTGAATTTGCCTACATCCAAGAATTCGGAAGGACCCTGACATTCCGTGAGTGACCAAACAGTACTGACACTCAGGCCAGCATCACCTAATCTGTGTAATGGGCCCTCACAAGGCAGACTCAGTGGGTATTTGCTTTCAGTGAACACATCAGTTACTTACCAATGGAATAAGTTCATTAGGTTTTATTTCTATTTCTAATTCATCTTTAAGATGCCCCTGAAAATGTAACTAAGTAGCCAAAATGTTGAATAACACAAACATTTATCATTGATTGCAAAAACCAACAGTCCTTGTATCCCAGTGATCCAAGAAGCCAGACATTTGATAGATGCAGTGTGAAAAGATACTTCTGGAAGACAGGGTTCATGCTCTGCTTCTGTGTCATCTGTGTAGTACTGCAGCATATCACTGGGTCTAATAGTCTTCCTCTAAAAAGGTGAATATTAAGATATAGTTCATGAAAACGTGTAAGATACTACTTATAGTTGAAGAATTTCCTTGCATCCATTCACCTATGTGCCAAAGATATGTATACAAATATTCATAGAGGTATTACTCAAAATAGCCCTACACCAGAAAAAAAAGTCTGTCAGCTTACACATGGAGAAACAAATTGTCACATCTCCTACAATAGAATATCACTCTGTCTTAAAAAAGAATGAAGTGCTAATTCCTGCTGCAACTTAGAAGTTTAAAGACATCACACTAAGTAAAGAGACCACAAGTTATATGGTTCCACTTACATTAAGCATCCAAGAATGACAAATGCATAAGGACACAAAAATGTGCCTGTTCATCTGTGATTTGGGAAATGGTAGCAATTGACTGTAAATGTACTCAAAGTAAATTTAGAAGTTAATGGACGTATTCCCAAACTAGATTGCAGTGGTAGTGTCTTAACTCCACAAATTTAGTAAACATCAATGATATGTAACTGTGCAGTGAGTGACTTCATGCTAAGTAAGTAAGTTATAGCTCAATGCACAGGTGGTAACAACAGATATTAATAATGAAGAGGAAATTTTGAAAAATAACTATAAAATAAACCAAAATAAAGACCATTTACCTGTAAGATTACTTTATTTTTACATGAACATCATTGTATGTTAAATTGTTGTCCTTTATGGAAAAATATTCTTTATTCTTTTGTATGACTGTCTTCGATCTTGGAGATTCATAAATCTTATGAAAATTTGTCAAGCCAATTGGTTGATGGAAATGATTTAGAAGGGGGTCTGACATACAATAAGCATGGAACTTGTAGTGCAGGTGCTGTGTAGAGGTATCACATCATTACAATGTACAGATTTCTTTTGTTGTCCTTTTTGTTGATGGGAAAGCTGGCATTGATAATACTTTCCCAAATGAGCATAAATAAAGCTCATATTCATAATAGCTATTCAAAGGTGTTTAAGAATTACAAACATAATTTGGAATATTGTAATATATGCTAAAGAAAATATAATTTGCAAAGTGTGTTTTACTTTATTTTCATGTTAAGGAAAAAATAATCATCACAGTCTTCCTTGCTTTTTTCATTTTCTCCACTAACTGAACATCTTCTTTATAAATTACAGGATGAAGAGAAGTGTCCACCTCTAGACATAATAAAATTAGAAGGAGCAGAAATTGATGTTGACAATAGCTTGGGAAAACCATTTGTGTTTAACTGTATGCCTCAGTCTGGAAGTAGAATATTCTGCCTCTGTGCAACTTCAAACCAAGAGATGAAAAGGTAATACATTAATCTCCTGGCTCTCTGGTTTTACTTTCAGTCAGGAGAATGTTTCATGAGTAGTAGATTTGCATATTCTTGGAAGCAGAAATAAACAGAGAACAAAATATGGTAGCACATGTTTTATTAAGTTCAAGAAGTTTAGGATGTCATTATTTCATTTTTTTTAAACAGAATTTCCAAAGAACATGAGCATACTCTGTTAACATTACTACTGTAACTCTCCTTATTTTCTTTAAAAGACAAAAGCTCAATAATGCTGCAGCTCCCTGTTTATATCTCTCATTTCTAACAAATTACTAGATGTATGCACTATAAGATGGATAGTTATTGGTATAAAAATAATGAAGCATGATATGGAACAATACAGTTGAGTGAGATGAGGTAAATAAATAGAGACTCCACTGACATTGTATAAGCATATATTCCACAAAGAGGGAGAATGTTTTGGCATTCTAAAATGTAGCAAAAGTTCTGGCCATTAAATATGTACTCCATTCGCCTGAGGGAATGCAGCTCATTGGCCATTTCAGTAAGCCAAGTGAAAACTGTAAGGAAGGAACTGACAAGCTAAGGTAAGGGGTGAACAGGCTACAGAACAGAAAGTGAATGGGAAAAGGTAGCACATCAATGTGTCTAGTCTTAATGAATACCTCCTTCCAACCTTAAAGGGGGTACTAGATAAAAAACATCTTGGGCAAAAGTATTCTGTCCCTATTTGTGGAATAAATATATAGTAAAGGACAACCAGGTTAATATGATAACAACTTTGTTCTATCTGAATAAGAGCATAGTATTTGTGCACACCAAACATGCCTAAGACCCCATTTTAAAGATTCTGTGGATTATCTGTATAATGAAGAGCCCATCTTTGGCCCCAAAAGTAAATAATCAGGGAAAATTGTGGAAGAGGAAGTGGAAAGGTTGTCAGAGCCAGCAGATCAGGGAGCTTGCTGTGAGATTGTGTCTCCTAGTAACATCAGAGGCTACACCCATGAAATCTCACCAACGTGACTGCCTAAACATAAGCTGAACAGGGATGACATCGATAGACATGACAAAGCGGACAGAGGAAGGACCAAGAGGTCTCAACTCTACCCAAAAACACTACAGGCAGCTAAGGAGGGCTGAGAGTGGCGGAAATAGTCTTCCCCAGGGAAAAGCACACCCATTGGTCATCCAGTGTCCAACAGTCAGTGCTGAAAACACACGTACAAGTAGCATTGTATGGACTGAGCATGTTAGATTTAGGAATATATATGTATGTATATATAGTGCATATAATAATAATTAGTGGGAAAAAAGAGGCCATGAATTTGAAAGAGAGCAGAGAGTGGTATATAGGAGGGCTTGGCAGGAAGAAAGGGAAGGGAGAAATGTTGTAATTAAATTATAATCTCAAAAATGAAAAAAAAAGTAAATAAACAAAACAAAATGCCAAGTCAGAACTAAAGTGGTAGGGCATTTGTTCTTTGGGATACAAAATAAAAGTTGAGATGTATCCTAAGAGAAGACATATGACATACCAACCGAGAACAGGAAGTAGGGGCTTGTGAATGTGGGAATGAAGTAGTTATTTATGGAAAAGATACACATATGGAAGAAGACATGGAGCAGAGGGCATCTGGGGAAATACACTGGACTGTGGGGATATCAGTGAGTGATGTGCTTTGATTGGAAGTTGGGGAGTTTGAAACAAAACTGAAAAAGGTTGGCAGGTGGGGTAGGGTCCGTCTGCCAATCCTAGGCTAAGCAGCAAGACTGGAAGAACTCAGGCCTCCAGATGGAACACCACTAAGGCATACCAATGAAGCCACTATGTTTGAAGAACACTTAAGAAGGGACTCCAGGCAACTAGCCGTTCACCAGTATTTCCATATTTTAGTAGGCTGTGCCTTATGGTTAGTATAGCAATTATTAACATTCATGCTGTTGTAAATGAATTCCAAACCTCAGAAATAGTGAGTGAATTCTCTCTTGGGCACTGATTAAATCATAGTAGTGGGGGGTACCATGAATTTTGCTTTAGATATGCCTAACGGTATAAGGCTTTGCCACAAACTAACCTTACATTTGCAAGAATGTTGCCTTCACCCAGGAGTGAGGAAACACATCTGAGGCTCCGGACTGCTCTGCCTGAAGGACAGGTTAAACAAGAACAAACTCCTCTACGGGACACTACACAGTCGCCATGGGTAGTCCCTCTCATTTTACTGTCTTTCAGGTGGCTTGAAGCAATGCACAAAGCAGCCCATCCTGTCCGCCAGGTAAGGTTTCCTCCTCAGCCCTGGTCTCTGTTTCCAGTTTGTGTTTCTTTACAGAAGGGAGCAAGGTAGATGTTGTGCTGCCCAGTCTGGGACATCTTAGGTCTGTTCTAAATGCTGGGGAAGGGACTCAGAGTCAACAGGGGTTCTGCTCAGATCTGAGAGGGGAGCTTTCGGTCCTGCTGCTCTTTTTATTTTTCCAAAGTCTGTATGACAACCCTCGCAAGAAGTATCAGGATGGAGTCACAAAGTGGAGTGTAATTATTGATGCACACAGAGCCTTACAGTAGTCCACCACAGTGACAAACGAATGCTGCTGGTTCTTTGTGCTCTTAAGATCTCCAGTATGTCTTGGACTGCTATGGCTGTCTGAGCAGCTTATGAGAGAGTGTGCACTGTATTCAGATTCTCAGTGCCAGTGGGGCCATGTTCATCTCTGTTCTATAGACATGTTGGTCACCTTGCACTATTCTTCCACACCCATGATCTCCAACTTTAGAGCAATATCATTCTGTTATATTTATACCTACAAAATGTTAAGTGATTTAATGACATCATCAGGTAAGCCATCACTTGAGAGCCTAAGGCACTGAGTACCCCTCTTTCTGAATTTATCCCATAACGCATTGTGAGAACCACTGCCTAAAGCCCAGCTCTTTCATTTTTACACTGTGGATATGGTTTGTAACGAAGTTATTAATTGCATTGAATAAGATCATTCCTTCATAAGATGGCCTTCACTTAGTACTGTCTGTACGCACTTTGAGTTTATGCATTGGCAGAAGTTCAGGGTGGAGTTTGGATGTCCTTTGCCTTGTAACTGTCCATTCAGAACAATCGTAAGCATTGTCATATAATGAACAGCAGGGCTTTTGTTTCCTTTTACCTGGAACACAGCACTCAGTACACTCGCCCGTCTCTCCAATGTACCACCCTAATGAGCCTGAATACTTCTAAGAGCTATCCATTCTGCTAATGCACTCAGAGTGTCGGCAGCAAGTGAAAAAAATGAACAGCCAAACTCCCAGCAGGCTCCCACTTCACAGCACAGAATACAGCAAGCTCTGCATTCTGATATCTTTTCACCGCCTTACTAAATAAAACTAAAGGGCAAAACCAAAACGGAACAAAGAGAAACGGGCAAGCGCAGGCCAGTCCTGACGAAGAGATAAAGCGCAGTGCTCCTGGCCGCGGGTCAGAGTTCTCAGAAAGAGCCTGTTTCCCAGGCCTGTGGACTGAGGGCCGCCCTCCAGGTTAGAGGGGCTCCATTTATCATCAGCCTTCCACATCAGTGACCGTGAGAGCCCAAGGCTGGGGCTGGCCTGGAGCATTTAATTTGCACAAGTGGGGGGGGGGGGGTTCACATAAAGAAAGGCATGAGCCAGGGGCTGCTATTATTCATAGTGGGCATACCAGGATCCAGTCTTGGAGGGTAGTGTGGTGTGAGAAGCCCCATGTCAGGCCAGCACTTTACAAACAGGAGCATCAGCAACTCTTTGCTGAGGTACCTATTCCCATTGGCTCTCTATTCCCAATCTCCTGGGTTGTTTTTTTTTGGCGGATACTCTTGATTTCTTTAGAATACAATAGAAGCCAAAGAGAAGAGGGAATTCTCTATAAGCAAAGGGTAATTTGACTGACTCAAGCAGTGAGACTCTATTAGCAATAGAATTTTTTCAGAGCAGTGGCTCCCTAAAGTCAAATAGGCTTATCCCCAGGTCACCGCTCTGTGGGTCAAAGGCATCTGGTGCAAGATGACTACTTAAATATTGCTGAACTACACCTGCAGAACCATGTCTGGGAAGATGTCACGCTGCACAACAGTAGGCTCCCACCTCTTGCTATCAAACATCCTGAATGCCTGGGCCTTCTGCACCAGCTGGAGAGAAGCACAGGGGAGTGGCTTCAGCACTACTGCATTCTGAAGGATGGCTGCTTGTATCTCTATGCTAGCATTCGCTCCACTCAGGCATCAGGTAAGGAATCAACGCCACTTGAAATTATTGTAACTACTGTGCTAGGAAGGACACCTTCGCTGTATCGAACCTTTGGAATGCCCTGTACAAGTGCTTCACCTAAGACAGCCCATCGATACTCCACAGAAGAGGCACTGTTGCACTGCTACTGTGAGCAATCTGCTGAGATCTTAATAGCCAGGCTAGCCCTGGAGCCTGGAGCTTTAATGCCTCATGTTTGATGTTTAGAAGTTAAAAGACCAGCTCCTCATTCCTTTGGTCACTGATGACCTTCAAAGGGAATGCTAGTCATTTTCTTAGGTAGAAACATCATTTTTCCCCCAAAGTATTCCTAACTTGGATGCTGGCAGTCTGGTGTTTGGTTTTTTGTTGTTGTTGTTTTGTTTTGTTTTTTGCTTTTTGTTTTTTGTGGTCAGTTTGCTCAACTTCCCACAAGTTACTTTCCTTACTTATAAAATGGAAATAATGGAAACAGCAGCTGTCTATTGTACAAGAATGCTGTGAAGACTGAGCCATTATTATTGAAATAGCATTAGTTCTGCATTTAGTGGTCTGAATATAAAAAGCTATTGCCATATATATTACATTCATTTATTGTAGAATTACTTTACACTCTTATGAAGTTATATATGTAGTTTGATTTCTGTTTGGGCCACCAGCTCACAAATAATGATACAGACACTTCTCATTAATTATGAAAGCTCAGCCTATAGCTTAGGCTTGTTGCTAACTAACTCTTATAACTTAAATTAGCCCATTTATATTAATCTATATTATATCATATGTCATTACTATTCTTCTATCTTGTACTTCTTGTTTCCTCTCTGAATCTCTTGGCATCTCTTGCATGCCTAGATTCCTCCTCCTTCTCTTTTCTCTCCCTGGAAATTCCACCTATACCTTCTGCCTAGCTATTGGCCATTCAGCTTTTTATTACTCCAATCACAGCAATACGCCTTCACATAATGTACAAATATCCCACAGCATATATACATATTTGAAATAGAATATACATATAGAATATGTGTATTTAAAAGATATAGATATAAAAATATGTGAATAACAAAATAAATATACCTGAAATCTACAAAAGAGCTCTCTCGCATTTTAAAAAATTATTATCTAAGCTATTTATTTCAAAATTTTAATTGAAATCAATTATATCAGTCCCCTGCTTCCTTTTCTTTCCTTCAACCTCTCCCATGACCCTGTTGTGTTCTCTCAAACTAATGGCCCTTTTTCTTTAATTACTATTTTTACATAGATATAAGCACATGTATAAGCTAAGCTTGTCTAGTGCTCGTCGTGTGTGTGTGTGTGTGTGTGTGTGTGTGTGTGTGTGTGTGTGTGTGTGATTTCAGGGCTGACCACTTGGTATTGAATAACCAATTAGGGTTTCATCCATGGCGAAGACTAAACGGTGAAGACGAATTCTCCCTCTCTCATCAGTCTTTAGTTGTTTCAGTTTAGTTTTGTTTAGTTTACCAAAGTCTCTTGGTCTTTGTCTAGCCGTGAGAGTCCCCCTTCCATGTTAGCATGTCTATAGGTGTTATCACCAGGCAGGGCCTATTTAGGCAGCCATATTGTCAAGGTATCATAGGTGAAGCGGCCCTTTCATCGATGGATGAATTATAATTTTTTAGAATAGGTGGAAATTTCCCTTGAGGGACAATTTGTTAGTATCTCAAAACTTAATTATAATAACCACTGATATTCTCATAGTTGATGTTACAATATACAAACAGGAAAGAAAACACAAATATCTGTACAAACATATTCTTAAAAAGTATGACAGAAACACTCATGTCAGTTATAATCTTCATTTCTTCACTTGGTCATATGGCATTGGCTGGCATTTATAACTACCTTCTTCTCCTACTCATTCTGTACTTCCTCCACCCCCAGCAAGCACTTCAGCAGGTCTTGGTTCTTTTCCTGGGGGACCGATCCATTCATATATATAATGAATGTATATCAAAAGGGATTTATTAGACTGGCTTGCACAGTAGAGTCTGAAGAGTCCAACGGTGCCTGTTTCTTACTGGGGAGGCTGAGAACCCAGCAGCTGCTCAGGCAACAAGGCTGGATCCCTTCTCAATCCCGGTCAGCTGCTGGAGGCCTGGAAGATTTCTGAAGGCCACTGGTCTTCAGTCCACACTGGAAAGCTGAAGAAACTGTGTTTCGATGTCGATGAAGATGGCAGCCACAGAAGCAGCAGGAGCAGCAGCAACAACTCACCACCAGCAAGAGGTGACGGTGACAGCAAGCAGACACAAAGGCAGAAACATTCCCTTGGGCTTCCTCATATCTGGGCTATTGCCAGAAAGTGCCTCCCATATATGCAGGGGTCTTCTCAGCTCAGCCCTAATCAAGAAAATCCTAACCTAATCTAGATAACCTTTCACAGGTATGCCCAGAGGCTTGGCTCACGAATGGGTCCTTCAAGTTAGCAATGTGAGCTGTGACACACACACACACACACACACACACACACACACACACACACACACACACACACACCAGAGTTCTAGTACTCATCTTTAATTCTTGCCAGAGATGCTAGAGAAGTAACACTTGGCATGCTGTAATCTATAATTCTTGCTTTGGCTGTGCTCACAAAGAGCTCTGCATAGCTCTAATACAAGTTACAACTCTCTGTGTCTTCGTTCCCCAGGCAGTCGTAATCCTGAACCAGACATTGATTACTGTTTACTACAGGCCTTCTCATACTGAGGGCTCTCGGTCAGTTTCTAAGTCATAGAAACAGTGTGGTCAGTTGTGGTTATTTTTAAAACAACTGAATTAGAAACATGGTACACACCAATGAGATGGCTCAGTGAATAAGGCTGTGAGCCTGATGCCCTGAGTTCCACCCCCACAAACCCTGATAGAAGAAAACACTCATGACAGTTATCCTCTGACCTCTACATGCCTGATATTCTCTCTCTCCTATCTATCTCTTTCTCTCTCTCTCACACACACACAAACACACACACAAATACTCACACACACATACACTAATTAATAAATAAAATTCTTTTTAAATGAAAAAACATGGTATATTGTAGTGCTTCTCAAAACTTTTGGTCAATTATATTAAAACATACAATAATATTCATTTGTAAGGCCTTTGGATCACAACCAAAACAATTAGAAAAATACTGATATGCAAAAGCCTTTAGTCTCTGAGCACATGCCTACTCCAATGGGTAATGTTTTTGTTTGTTTGTTTTGAGACAGGGTTTCTTTGTGTAGCTTTGGAACCTGTCCTGGTACTCACTCTGTAGACCAGACTGGCCTCGAACTCACAGAGATCCACCTGCCTCTGCCTCCTGAGTGCTGGGATTAAGTGTATGTGTGCAACCACCACCCAGCTCCAATGGTGAGTTTTATGTCAGAATCTTAGAAGAAGAATATAAAGCTAGTCATTGCTTTTGGATTACACTGTAATGCACCTGTCATTTGTTGCTTCCAGCTTGACACTAGACTCCTGTGGTCACATCCTGTCCATCTGAGTTTCTTTACTGTCTTCTATATTCTAAATAGTTTTCATTTTAGTCCACTGACCCTTCTGTAGAGCTGGGAGACCTCATATAATACTACCTGTTCCTGAATGTAGCTGTAGTTATATTGGCATGCTATTTCTTTTTATCTTCAGTGCTGAGAAAATACTGAGGGTAATAAGAAGTGAGAGGAAAAAAAAATAAAATTAGAGAGGAGCGGGGAGGGAGTGAGCTGTGGAAAACAGTGTAGCCCTGGCTTCCTGTAAGAACTATATTAGGCACTAAACCCACATTTTCTCTTTCAGCTAGGTATATATGCCTCTAGGGGACAGTGGGTGAATTGGAGAGAATTCAGTTCCCGGAAGGCTTTCTTTGCTTAACTCTCAAAAGAGGTATTTGTCCTTTAGCAAAATGTACTGCTGGCCCTCATGTGCCTGCTAATATTAAGACTATTTCAAAAGTCCCTTGGTCAAGGACCTTTACATAAAGCTGTGCCCGCATTCCTTTTTATCTCTCTCCAGCAAGAGCTAGAAGTAGCAAATCATGACAGACTGTTGTTTGTCACTAAATCACATCAAGGTCTGGGTGCAGTTCTCAGAAAGATTATTTTACCCTGTTACAGTAAACAGGGCAAATCATGCTCACACAGTTCTTTCGGCTAACATGGGACTGGACTGATAATTACTGTTACTAACGAAGAGGCGTAGACCCAGAGAAATTTCCTTAAGTAAGCTGCTGGGGTTTACAGCACAAACTTCACTGTCACGTAAGCCCTGCAAGTGACTAGGAAGACGACTGCAAGGCTTTGTTGTTTGTAGCAACAATTTTTTTGCATTCTTTTATTTATTATACACGAATATAATACATTCTGGTCATACACTTTGTGGTGATCTGGATGAGGTGTCTCCCCTATGTCTCGGGCATTTGAATCCTCGGTTTCCAGTTGTTGGCTCTGTTTGAGTGTGGTTAGGAGGTGTGCCTTGCTAGAGTAAGTACATCACTGGGGGTGGACTTTGAGGTTCCAGAAGCTGCTGCCATTCCCAATTAGCTCTCTTTGTTTCCTGCTTGTGGTTCAAGCTATATGCTCTTAGCTTTCTGCTCTAGCCACGTGTCAGTCTGCTCTCCATAACCTTGATGGGTCATAACCCTCTGGAACCCAAAGCCCTAAACTCTATGAGTGGTCTTGGTCGTGCACTTTATCACAGCGATAGAATAATAACCAATACACAGTTCCATCCTCTCATACCCTCCTCCCTGTACACCAACCCGCCCACCTTTCCTCCAAATCCCCATCACACTTTCCTGTCTTTTGCTTTGGTGACCCACTGATGTCCCCATCAGCCCGGGTGTGGAGCCATCCACTCGAGACTGAAGACGGTGACTTCCCCTCTCTGAGCAAGTCTCAGCTGCCATCAATTAGTGAGCACAGAGACAAAAGTTGTGCTATGTCCACACAATGGAGCATCCTGCTACAATGGAAAGAAATCAAGAACTGATGTCTAACATGAATGAACCCTGGAAACACTCTGCTAAGTGAAAGCGAGCAAGCACAGAAGAGTGTGTGCTGTGAGATGGCTTTTCTATTAGGTACTGCAGGAAAACGAGCAACTACGGAGAGAGGAGAGTAGGGAGAGATTATCAACAGCTGGGGTGGCACCTCAGCTAAGGAGTGACTGTTTATGGTGGTGTTTCTGTCTGACATGAGGAAAGTTAGGCTGATGATTATACAAATGCTCTAAGTAAAGTAAGACCATTGATCCATACCCGCCACATGAAGAGCTTATGGTGAGTCAGTGATACTGCAATAAGGTTTTTCCATCCCATCCACTCTTCATCTCTCAGCCTGTCTCAGAGAATGGTATCACCCTATTGGGTGAGCACCATCTCCCCGAGGTCAACTAAGGTAGAAAAAAATATCTGGTCATTTCTGAAGTCAATGTTTTCTCAAGAGTTCCAAAGTGGACTCTTTTCAACTGAAAATTTTAAAAAGGAATTTAATATCACCTTTTGCATCCCCCATAAAAATAAGCAACCTCTCCCTAATTTCTAAAGTCTAAAACCCTGTCTTCCTCGCACAGTAAGCTGATAGTGAGTGACTTAAAGGAAGCCAGAGTCAACCCTACCCAAGCTTCCCTTTCATAGTTCCACATCGTCATTGCTGAGGCTATCAAGTAGACTGTGGCATTTTTTATTTGCATTTGTAATGAAGTGCACTGTGGTCAGTGTTGGAGGTGCTAGGGGATGACAGCAAGGTGGCACGGGAGTGGTGAATCTCTAAACATCCTAGCACTACCATTACTAATAATGCCCGAATCTCTGCAAGAGATTTGGGCTACCTCAGAACAGAAGAAACAGACAAGCGTTTTGACCCTTCAGAATCTTCTCCTAGACCATGATCCCTACAAACCTCAAAAAGGGAACAAAATTCAGACCAAGTAGTACTCTTAGATTTAAAGGACCACGAGAGGAAAATTACTTTTTATCACCAGTAAATCTATCTATTCTCATTGCCAATTCAAGTTGGCATTTTAGTATCACCCTGTGGATACGTATTTTAGGTGGGATTTGCAGTACGCAAAGAGGGTGAGAATCTGTGCTGGTTGTAGAAACTGCCTGCAGCCTTCATCATGCTTCAGGGAGCATGTTTTAATGACTCTGCCCCCCAAAAATACTATTTAATTTTCTTCTAATATGGTATTCCAGCTATTCTCCTTTGACAGTGGAAATTTTATTTCAAAACTATGTCCTTCTGGTAAAGAAGCTCATCCATGCACAGAGTTTGAAAAGACAAATACCTATCACTTACACATGGAACCGAGAAGTTCAATTCTGCTGCCACTCTTGCTACTGGGCACTGCTCAGTGTGTGGCCTCTTTTGAAGTTACTTTCCTCACCTGTGATGACAGAGCTAGAAAAGCAGTCCTTTCATACACAGAATTTTAACACTTTTTCTGACGCTCTCTTTACTTTCCCTGTTCTCACTTGTCGTCCCCCGACATCTTTGATTTCACCCTGTGTAGGCGGCCTGTATCTCCAAGGATATAGGGTGACTGAACAGACCCATGGTTTCGAACAAGCAGTAATTGAACTCAAACCTCCATCAGAAGAGTTCAGGACTTTCTATTTCTGTGCAGAAAATAAAACAGAAAATCAGCGGTAAGCCAAGACCTGCCATCCTCCGTGTGTCTTAGTCTCCACAAGTAGTCAGCCAAGACCTCCCCTTCCTCCCTCTGTGTGTGTTAGTCTCCACAAGTGGTCAGCCAAGACCTCCCTGTCCTCCCTCTGTGTCAACCTTGACAAGGTCTCCTTCGTAAACTCACCCCCTCATTTTCCAATTCCACTCCTTAAGAGAAATCCATCCTTTCTCTAGTCAGTCATACTGACTGTTCTCCTGGATTATTTTTCTTTCATCCCTTTTTCAGTGACTTCTCTAGAGATACTTTTTTTCCCCAAATGAAGATAGAGTAACCAGAATTCCTGCCAAGACAGTGGGTACCTCAGGCTTCAATATTAAGAAAAAAACAAAGAAACAAACATGCTCCCACTATTTACAATTTGTAAATACTCCATAGATTTTTAAATTATATTTATTAGCACATCTTAATTGTGTAAAACATTGATCTGTCATTTGACTTCTTCATGTAACTTGCATGGATTTGTCCATTTATATTTGGTTGATTGTTTTATCGTAAACCAGTGAAGGAAATAAAACAGATTTAATTTGTGGTGTATTCAATCTCAGGCTGTCATTCACAAATGAACATTGAGTTCAAATGGTCCTGAAATACAAGAGAGGTGAAGTCACGAGACACAAAACTGTAGAGAAAAAGTTACTCGGCATCCTCCTCCACCTCTCCAGCCTCCCCAAGATGCCCGTACCCTCTGCACTCCATGCCTACCCTCACCTGCATCACAATAATCTCTCACCTGTCCCGGGCCTTTTATTACAACTACAAGGATCCCATAAAGAAATTCCTTACTAAAGCCAGTTGATGACCTGATACAACTTTTCTGAGGACATTTACAAGAAATTATGTTTTAAACACAAATAAAATTACAAAAGTGGGACTGTAGGGATTGCCCTCAAATAGCCACTTAGGCAAGAGATTGAGGACCTCATCTGTCTTTTCCCACTATGTAAATGTTGCTTGTGCCTCTCCTTTGAAGGAGGTACAGGAGTCAGAGGCAAATGTGTTGCTGCTAGGAATGCTGCCATGGCTCTCTTCTGGACATCTGGCCAGCAGATACAAATGATAAGCCTCCAACTAGCACACCAAAGCAAGGATCACTGAAACTGATCTAAGTTCCATCTGATAAAACCTACTAGTTTCTCTGTTACAGCAGGCTCAATAGTTGGGGCTGACTGTTATATTCATAGGGCATTCTTTTACAGTAAAAAACAAACAAACAAAAATATTGAACCACTGGAGAAATATTTCAAAGAGTAGCAGTGGAAAGTCGAAAACTGGATAGAACTTAGAGCTCATGTTATTCCACTTACCCCTAAAGTAAGTTTAGAAAGTGATAAAAGTTAGAGTCCACACCCAGAGACCCACAAATGCATTTATTAGTGTTTCTGAAATAGCCTGTTGGAAATATTCTTGGGTAACTGTTTCTGGTTGTTATTTTTGGTTGGCTAGTAATACAGCTCCTGCCGTTAGAAACAATGTTTCATAAAACATTGTCCAAGAAAATAAAAGCAAGAGAAAGAAAAGGGGGATTAATTAGAGGGTGTGTACGGTTTCTGGAATTTAACAAGGAAATACTTTTACTAATATAACAATATTTATTTCATGTTTGATCAACAACGTTTAAAGTTAAATGAAAATAACAAAATACCATTAACAATTTTTCAGACAATAGAGCTCCATTGATCACTATACTGAACATCTTCCTCTCTTGTACTTATGACCCTTACTTTTGTTATTGAGCCATCTCTACATTTTGCCTTCTCATTCAACCTGAAATCTATAGAGTATGTTTTTCCCATTAATTCCAAACTAAATAACCAAGAGAAACAATTAGAAAATAAATTAAAGAGTTCTGTCATATTTTACCTCCCCAGGGCCTGACAGGTTTAATGATCTGTTCTGTTTTTCTTTCTCTTGCAGCTGGATTACAGCTTTGAAAACATCGATCAAAAAATGGCTTCCTTTGGACCAGGCCATTCAAGAGTTCATGAATCGACCTCTAGAGGAGACTAGAATGTGAAAGAAACTGTAAATAAAAAGACAGTTTCCACAAGGGTGTCCCCAACTTAATGAAAGAAAGGAAACATTTCTGAAATATAGTTTTCAAATGAATCTACTCCTTATGTGTTAAAAGTTGGAGCAACTGATATCAGCGTTCAAGTATGACACTTACATCACAGACTCCTCCCTAGCCTGCTTACATTTGCGTCAGCATACCTTAGCTCCCCTACCCCAAGCCTTTGAAAACATCAATAAACATGTATTTGTCTCATTTTTTGTAAAATATTTCATTCAGAACTTTGGCCATAAACTTCCAAGAGTATCTCTGGGCCACGATACGGGACATTAGTAAAAATTAAAATCATGGAAAAGGTATCTCCTATATGATGAGTGAGTGTTTCAGCCAAAGGAGGTGATCTTCCTTAGACTCTCTTATGATGAACAGGCCTAAGCACTGCCCCAGGGCTTCTCAGGTAGAGTGCTTCTCAACAATTTCTGGAAGCTATTATTTTAAAAAAATAAAATAAAATAAGCTAATAGACTGAATCTAAGGGATACATCTCAAAAACATGGATCTGACTCACCATGTGAATTTCTACAAAACCAAAATGAACCATTCTAGACCTCGAGAGCAAAATCTGAAGAAAGTAAGAAAAAGCTTTGGCTGTGTTTCTCGGTGTAATGACCCCTATGTTGTATTGAGGAGATTGTAATGCATTTTGGAAGCCCCACATCCTGGACATGGACCACAGATTTCTTTCATGTTCAGCTGTAAGATTAAAATACCCTGAAGCAACTCCTATCCACATGACAGAAGGTGAAAGCAAGTCTGTCCTTTCATAAAGAATGCTGTTTCTATATCATCCTGAATGAGGTAATCGAGACTCAGAAGGACAAACACGGTATGTACTCACTCATAAGTGGATACTAGATGTAAAGCAAAGGATAACCAGACTACAACCCACAGCTCCAGAGAAGCTAGCTAACAAGGAGGGCCCTAAGAAGGATGCATAGATCATCCAGTGAAGGAGAAATAGATGAGATCTACATGAGCAAACTGGGGGTGAAGGGTGGGTAATGGAGGGCAAGAGATGGGGGATGAGAACATAAGGGAACAGGAGGTTCGAGCTGGAACAGGGACAGAGTGGGAGAGCAAGGAAAGAGATACCGTGATAGAGGGAGACATCATGGGAATAGGGAGAAACAGGGTGCTAGGGAAGTTCCCAGGAATCCACAAGGATGACCCCAGCTTAGACTAAAAGAAAGAGTCGAGAGGGGGCCTGAACTGGCCTATTCCAGTAATCAGATTAGTGAATACCCTAACTGTCATCATAGAGCCTTCATCTGGTAACTGATGGAAACAGATACAGAGATCCAGACTGGGCACAAGGCCGAGCTCAAGGAGTCTAATCGATGAGAGAGAGGAAGGATTCTATGAGCAAAGGACATCGAGATCATGATGGGAAAAACATACAGAGATGGCCAGCCAAACTAGTGGAAATGCATGAACTGTGGACCAATAGCTGTGGAGCCCCCATGCTACTGGACTAGGATCTCTAGATAGGCAAGACAGTTAGTTGTTTAGCTTGAACTGTTTAGGGGGCCCCCAGACAGTGGGATCGGGACCCATCCCTGGTGCATGAGCCAGCTTTTTGGAGCCCAGTGCCTGTGGTGGGACACCTTGTATAGCCTTGGTGCAGGGAGGAGGGGCTTGGACCTGCCTCAACTGAATGTGCTAGGCTCTGCTGACTCCCCATGGGCGACCTTGCCTTGGAGGAGGTGGGAATGGGGGGTGAGTTGCGGAGGGGGGAAGGCTGGAGGGCGGGATGAGGGAGGAGAGGGGGATCTGTGGTTGGTATGTAAAGTGAATAGAAAATTTCTTCATTAAAAAAAGAAAAGAGAATGCTGTTTCTGAGCCTCAATAGCTTTGCTGTGTGGCTAGCCTTCCTTACAGATGAGGATGAGAAAGGGAAGTGAATTCCTGCTAATGACCACATCAGTGGTTCCTGGCAGAAGTGCAGCTGAGCCCAGCTTCATCTCTTCACCTGTGTTTCCCTGCTCATTCCCCCTCCCCTCACCACACCCAGGAAAATAAAATGTGAAATCTCGTCACACAAGGGTACGGAAGCTGCCTTTATACACTTCCAGTCTGCAGCAAAACCCTATAAGCAATACCCCGTAGCTTTCTGTATATTACTTTCACATCGTTTTCATTACTTCTTTTAGTTTTTGAGATTATAATATAATTGCATTATCTTATCTTACCCCCCTGCCATGTCTCTTTTGTCCCTCCAAACCCTTCTATATACCTCTCCTTGCTCACTTTCAAATTCATGGCCCTTTTATTTTCTTACACATTATATTATTCTTTGACAGACAATCTTAAGTGTGAAAAGAAATAACAAAATCATGTCACTGCCCTACATACTTTATCACTCCTTTGTTGAAATGAATATGAAAGCATTCCCTCAATGCTGCCTATGCCTGTTATTTGTCATAATTCAAATAAAGGAGTCTTGTGAGCAAGTGGGGGTGTACTCCTTATTCCATGGATTAGGAGAAGCTGCCTAGATGAGCTCATGCCCCAAAGCCTCCTGCTGTCATGCTCTGACCAACTGAATGCCAGAGTCAAAAAATATTTAATTAACAACAACACATAGCCCTCTATCCTGAAAATGGTGCCTTTGTTCTTACAGTATCTTCCAGGACAATAATGAGGTCTTTCAGCTGCAACATCAAGAATGTTCATGTCAGGAACCTGGGGCTTGCACTTCCTCTCCCCTGCGGTGTTTCTGCCTCTCTGGAGCCTGGCCCTGGAATGCACAAACTGTGCCGTTACCAGGCAGCCAGCTAGTGACCACAGCCAACTGTGACATTGGCATGGCACTCTCCCCTGCAGGAGCAAAGCAAAAGCAAACACCTCGGTCAAATGTGAACACAGTTTTCTCCGATTCAAGCATTCACATAAATTCCTTGAAAGTGAACGGTACCAACCTTCAAAGTCCAGAGAGAGACACCATCCTAAATTTACTGTTATTATTCTTGGAAGGGTCATCTGACCTTAATAATCATGGACATTAAGGAAAAATTTTTTAAAAAAAATTCTGGGTGCACATTTTCACGCAGAGAGGGTTGGTAGTTTGTATGAGATTCTCAAAGAGGCAATGTGACCCAGAAAGGAAAACAAAATACACTTTTTAGTTCTGAGATGAAGAACATTTCCCAAGAGCCAGCAGGCTTGCAGCTCCCATAGATATGAACAGAAGGGGAACATGCAGGACCAGCCCTCTACATACGCAGAATCTGGCTGTACATCTTGGGCTTAGCCTTTTGTCCAATTAAGGAGCACCTCTGACAAGTTCAGTCAGACAGTAGATGTGTAGTGACTGCATATTCTGAGCCAATCTTCCTGACTGCCACCAGCCAACTACCAGCAAGGAAAGGCAGAAAAGATACATAGATCATTCGCTGCCCAGCAAGTGGCTCGGAATTTCAGTTCTAATCTGATTTTGTTCTGGCTACAACCCCAGGGAGATTCCTTGAGATTTCCTTGCTTTAGCTTCCTCATCATTACACGAGGTAGTTCCTGTCTCAAGTGTCTATGAAAATTCGATAAACACAACCACATGTGAATAGTCCTAGAAAACTGTGTATCTCTACAGACTCGCAGGATGATTTTTTGTGTCATTAACAAGGACGAGTTAGCTTATACATAGACCTCATGTCTCTGAGGACAACTCCAGAAAAAAATACAGAAAGCTATGTCTTGTCTTCTAAGGGTCTGAAGATGGAAAGGATGTAGAATAGATCCATCAAGATTCTATCTGGACAGAATATAAAAGAGCAAACTTATTGGTGAAATTATTAAGGCCACTCCACGTAGTTAAAAGGGAGGTTTATTAGTGACATAACTTAAAAATGAAGGGATAGGTAGGTTGCTGGGTTTGGGGAAGAAGTAGCACAGTCCGGCGGCGGTGTTCTCTGGAGAACTCTGCTCAGTCTACCTTTAGCGTCCAGGGTCCAGGAACCAAGAGAGCTCGGCGCACCTGGATCTCGGGTCTTCAGGGCCCTCTCTTGGCCTGCCTTGTAGACGTGACAGTTACCGAAGCCTCAATGGGGGTTGGAACTTCCAGATCAAAGCTGAAATGGCTACCCACTACACAAACTTGCTAATATCATAATATGACATTATATAGAACCACCAAGACTGTGTTACAGTTACCAAAACTCCTTGACAAACTTGATTTCCATTAACATTCCTAAGAAGCTCTGATCTATATCTCAGTAGTTCTCAACTTTCCTAATTCTGTGACCCTTTAATACAGTTCCTCATGTTGTGGTGACCCTCGGCCATAAAATTATTTTGCTCCTAATTCATAACTGTAATTTGGCTAATGTTATGAATTGTAATGCAAATATCTGGCATGCAGGATATCTGATATGTGATCGACGTGAGGATCGAGAGCCCGAGGTTGAGGACCACTGTTATATCCTGATGTTTTCATGGGACCCATGGACCTGAGAGGTGCTCCTTACTCTGCTCTCACTGTGCTCCTTACGTTGACACTGTGCACACTTTAGAGAACCTCTAGACCACTACACTTGGAGTTCCCACTAAAATTGCACTTAGTGAAGGCAAATAAATAAACATCCAAAACACACTATTTTATTTTCTGAAGAAGAGAATGCTAAAATTTTTAGTCTAGTTCCTTATTAATGTTACTAACTTGGGAAAATGTCCACAGACCAACCTCCATTTGTCCTGGGGCTTGCAACAATAATTTCCCTGAACTTTTGAGGAAAGAAAATGCTTTCTCCACGGAAGTTTCCCTAACATCATAGATGTGTGTATTCTGTGAGAGCTTACCCAGAGACCACATGGAATTCTCCTCAATGACTTGTCCACTTCAGGATGTAACAGTTAAGGTATAGAACACTTTTTCTAAAAGTAGCCACTCTGTCCTCACAATAACTTTACATCATGCATGGACATGAACACACAAATACAATTTACAACATTGGTTAATATTAATACTCTCCAGTTTACAAACCTGCCTTTTTAGAGTGAAAGCCATTCTTGGGCAGAAATTTTTTATTTCAATGACTTCTTCACAGGCTACTGCCCTGAAGCAGATATGCCCAAGCAGATATGTCCAGGATTAATAAAACAAGTGATCTTAAAAAAACTCCAGAAAGCTATTTCATCAATCTTTTGAAGCAAAATAGAAAGACCTCTGTAGTTACTATTTGACAGTTCCAGAGATTAAGAAC